CCCCCCCTGCATTAAATATCCAGCTACTGGATTTTTATGACTGCATAGTATTCATCATATAGAATAAAGTATAAACTATTACTCTGTGATGGGGCATTAAGTTGTTTCCAATTTTTCAAATAACTCTATTATGAAACTCCCTGCTTATCTCCAGTTATTTTCTTGGCCTAGATTTCTAGAAGTAAAAATTATTTTAGGACTCGTTATACATTGCCAAATGGCTTTTTGAACGTTCGAGCCAACTGGTATGCCGCTAGAAAGTATAGGATTTCATAGTGCCCATGGCATATCTTGGTTCCCGTAATGAAGAACTTCTTTATCAATTGGTGGTAAATCCAGATCAAACCCAGAGGCCACTGTTAGCAGGGAAACAGCTCCCCAGAACCATCTTGGACCCTGTGACTGAGCACAGCCTGGCACTGTTGCCCATCCTAAGTCAATTTTCACAGGGTAAGGTTGCTGGAACAAACAATCCAGAGTTTTCAGGGCTGACGACAAGCGAGGTTTATTTCTCACCCACATTACTCATAAGATGTGGATCAACTGTGACTTTTTTCCAAATGTCTTCTGGTTCCAGGACCCAGGATGACAGAACGACCCCCCTCTCTGTTCTTATGTCCAAAGACAAAGACACAGAGCAGAAGTCCACCATGGCTCTGAAGGCTCTGACTTGGACATGGCAGGCATCGCCCCCACTCGCTTCCATCGGCCCAGGGAGGTAATGTGGCCAAGCCTGATGCCAAGGAGGGGACGTGTCCACTCCTCCTATGGGGACGCACTGAAGGTCACCTTCGGGGGGAGGGTGACAGAATCCCCTAGGGAGTGGACAGAAAACACCTGGAAACAAAATTATAATTGACCACAGCCATGAGCCCTCAGAAACAAGGCTGGGTATTCGTCATCACCTCCTGGTACTGAATCTGACATCAGGAATGTTCAGCAACCAGAATCCCTCCTCGTGCTGGAAACTCCATGCCCTAGAAGCCTTCCCCAGGGGTGATGAAGGTGATGAAGGTGACCTAGGTTTGCCTTTTGTGCAAATACAAGAAAAAATACATAAGTTTGTGTGTATGTTTAGGTGTATATAATTATAGGTAGCTCCATTAAAAATAGTAAAGATATATTGTTAAATTTTTAAAAGGCAAAAGAAGGGGTGCCTGGCTGGCTCAGTCAGAAGAGCACGAGGCTCTTGATCCCAGAGTCATGAGTTCGAGCCCCACATGGGGTATAGAGATTACTTAAATAAATAAATAAATAAATAGCCAAAAAAGAGTCCTTATGTCTAGCAGGCTACCATTTATTTTTAAATGAGAAAGAATACATATACATGATACATATAATTTATGTTTATATATGCATAAAATATCTCCAAAAAATCAAGAAGCTGGTAACAGTGGTTATTTTAGGAAAGCAAACTATGGGACTGATGGTAGAGGGGAGAGGATTGCTTGTCACTCTATTCGGTTTTCTACAGTTTGAAATGTTTTCCTTGTGCTTATGTTGCCTTTTATTGTCCTTTCCCAATCCTTTCTCGAACAATGTCAATCCTCTTCCTCCATCGCTCCCGAATAACGATGCCCTGACTGTAGTTAACTCATGGGCTCTGCTCCGGTGAGGCTGCTGGCCCCAGTTGTCCCTTCCCTACCTAGAGCTTCAGAAAGCAGAATTTCCAGAAAGCACTGGAAACCCCAAGAAAAACAAATAGGAAGAGTTACAAAGAAAAAAAAAAAGTCATGCTCCAACAGGCCAGGCCACCTCACATGGTTGTGCAGATGCTGCTCGTGACTGCCTGCCAGAGAAACCTCTTCCAGGAAGGGGAGATCAAAAGATAGAGCCAAACTTCTCTTGCATGAGTCAGGAGTCTCGCTCCTGGGAGGAAGATAGACAGACAGAGAGAAAATGAGACAAAGGGAAAGCAACATTTGCGGAGAAAGCCAGTGGTGCCCCCAAGATGGGGCACTTTAGAGATGGGGCTGCCCACTGTGCCATTGGCCGCCAAGACCCCTCCTCTGTCTTCCTCACATCCCCACATGTGCTCCAAATCTTCAGAAATGCCTCCCATACCCCACATGCTTGGTGTGAGCAGGTCCCTCAGTAGAAATATAAAGGGCTGACATTTACCATCTGGATGAGTGGAACGGAGACAGCACCCGTGGGGGCGGGAGTTGAAGTCAGAGATAACATGAGAACACAATCCTCAGGGTTTTGGTGAGGACGCTGGGGAGTGCTTTGGATTTCTAGAGGGCATGGGATATGGAGTTCAAATCAAGCTGCTGTCTAGATACGCCTGGAGCCCACAGCGATTGTTGGGTTACACAAGCAAAGGTGCTGAATATAGAATGTCCCGGATAAGTGGGTGTGGTGAAGGTGGTCTACACCATCAGGAACCTGCTATTGGGGTTGTCAGGGAGGCTCACATTCTTGGAGGCCTCTTCCTCACCCTGGCAAAATCCGAAAGGCCCTGGAGAAGTGCAGTGTTCACAGGACATCTGCATAGGACACTGTGTCACTGAGTCCCCAATCCAGGACACTATGCTTGATCACCTGCACAAGCTCCTGGTGCCTGAGCCATATCCAGGTGGACTAGGACAATTTCCTGGGCTCCCCGGAGTGTCCCACAGAACCAGAGACCGGAAGGGTGTGACTAGGTTTCCACGAAGCAAAGGGGATATAATTCAATAAATTTGGGAACCAATGGAATAAACAGGATTTGTAATGGCAGGACCTGGAGGGAAGTTTTCTAATGAGGTAAGTCAGAGAAAGACAAATACCATCTGATTTCCCTTCTGTGTGAAATCTAAAAGGTATGTATATTAAAAAAAGAGGGGCACCTGGGTGGCTCAGTCAGTTAAGCAACTGACTCTTGATTTCGGCTCAGGTCATGATCTCAGGGTCCTGAGATCAAGCCCTGTGTCAGGCTCCATGCTTAGTGGGGAGCCTGCTTAAGGATTCTCTCTCCCTCTGCCCCTCCCCACAGCTCTCTCTAAATAAATCTTTTTTAAAAATGAAGGAAGGAAAGAAAGAAAAAAAGAAAGAAAGAAAAGAAAGGAAGGAAGGAAGGAAAGAAAGAAAGAAGAAAGAAAGAAAGAAAGAGAGAGAGAGAAAGAAAGAAAGAGAAAAAGAAAAAGAGAAAGAAAGAAAGAAAAAGAAAGAAAGAAAGAGAAAGAAAGGAAAAGAAGCTGAGCTCATAGATATAGAGAATAAATTGGTGGTTGCCAGAGGTAGGGGTTAGGGGTGGGAGAAACAGGTGAACTGTTTTTGTTGTTTTAATTTAAATAAATTAAATTTCTTAAAAAGTAGGCAAGAACTGCAAAAGAATATATTGTAAAAATTAAAAGTTCCCTCACTAAGGCACTTCCCTAATCTCACTGCCCAGGGGTAACCAGTGTTAAGTTCTCTCTACCTTTCCAGACCTTTTTCTATGTACAACTACATAGACACATGTATGCACATTATACGTGCAGAATTATGGTATGCATATTATTATTCAGTAACTTAAATCATTTGTTAACTTGGACAGTCTTCTGTGTAAAAGCATAGAAATCCACCTCAGTTTCCTTAGGCCCGTGATTTTTAATACCACATTAGAAATGCTTATCATTTGTTATAAAATTAATACATTCATATGGTAATAAAAAATGTTTTAGGGGCACCCAGGTGGCTCAGTCGATTAAGTGTCTGCCTTCGGCTCAGGTCATGATCTCAGGGGTCCTGGGACTGAGCCCCGGTGTCAGGCTCCCTGCTCACCCCCTGCTGTGCTCTCTCACATAAATAAATAATTTTAAATGTTTTAAATAAAACTGAAGATACCAATTTTCATCTATCAGATTGGCAAAAATCCAACAAGTTGATAATCTACCCTGTTGGTGAGGCTGTGGAAAAAGGAGCTTTCACACATTCTCGGTGATAGGGTGAAGTGATACCGCCCCTTCAGGAAGGCAATTTGGCAGTGTCAGTCAAAATTAAGAAAAAAGCCTTTGACCCAGCAGCTCCACTGTTACACTTAAGACTGACTTGTACACAACCACGTGTACAATTCAGCAACAATGTTCATAATAGTGAAATTAATAGTATATACTCATCGATAGAGGGCTGGTTAAGTAAGTAAGCTCCCTCCATAATGGAATACCTTATACATGGAACTATGGAAAAGAATAAAGAAGTTCTCCATCTACTAATAAGGAAAGATCGGCAAGGTATACCGATAACTGGGGAGGAAGGAGAGGTTGCAGAACAATGAAGGCGTGACATTCTGTGTAAAAAAAGGGGGGGTAAGAATCTATATTTGTATTTGCTTGTATTTTATAAAGAAACTCTGGAATAATATATAAGAAAATTAAAATAGGATTTTAGAGGATAGAGAAGGTGGGAGGAATTAGAGATGGGGAATAAGGGGAAAAAAACTTCCCAATACACTGGCTCATATTTTTGGATTATGAGCCATGTACATTTCTTGCTTATTCAAAAGGGGAAGTAAAAACTACAGGGAGATGATCATATAAAGAAAGTACGAATACAACCAGATACAAAATTACACCCTGAGCACAAGTCGTTATTAGAATTAAAGATGTAGGGGCGCCTGGGTGGCTCAGTCCTTAAGCGTCTGCCTTCAGCTCAGGTCATGATCACAGGGTCCTGGGATCGAGCCCTGCATCGGGCTCCCTGCTCTGCTGGAAGCCTACTTCTCCCTCCCCCGCTCCCCATGCTTGTGTTCCCTCTTTGGTTGTCTCTCTCTTTGTCAAATAAATAAAATCTTTCAAAAAAATAGAATTAAAGATGTATTTTTAACTTAGTAAGGACAAGACAAATGCATAAGACCCAAACTTTGCAAGATAATTTAAGCCGTATAAGCACGCCAAATGCTAATGGAATGTGGTGATGTGACAAAGCAAAATGATGACTATACCCAGTAGTTAGATGCCAGAGAATCAGCTGAACCACCAAACTATGAGAAATTGTGATGTACATTTCATTTTTATTCCTGTTATGTTACTATGGAAAAGGCAAAGTTTTTGCTTGTCTGTTTCTTAGGTATAAGGAAGAAGGAAGGGGGAAGGACCAATGAGCCCATTAACAGGAACGTAACTGATGCACCCTTTTTGCAGGGCAATTTTGCAACATCTAGCAACACTGAACACACATCTTTTGACCCAGGAATGGGTCTGGGAACGTACCAACAGATAGATATATTCCCACAGCTATGTAAAAGGTAATTAATGTGGCATATAAAGATATTTAGTGAAGTATAGTTTACAAAGCAAAAAGCTGGAAGCTACCAAAATCAGCAGAAAACTGGTTCAACTGTGGAGTATTCTAAAATGCAACCCTCCGCAGAATGATGCAGATGCGTCCAGACTGAAACAGAAACATGGCTGTGGTATTAGCAAGGGGAAAACAAGTTATGGTATAGTCAACAGCGTGATTCTATCTGTATAAAGACAAAACATGATGAAGGACAAGCATGTCTAGAGAAAATGTCTGGAAGGATCCACCTGCATCTGCTAACAAGGGGTAACTCTGAGGACTGAGACCAGGATTGGGGGCAGAGGGAAGAGATGGGGAAGACCATTAGGAAAACATTTCCTTTCTTGAATTAATTATGCTTACCTTGTGAATGTATTACTTTGCTTATTCTTACTGTGGTCAAATATACAGAACAGAAAATTTACCACTTTAACCATTTTTTATTTTAGAGACAGAGAGTGGGGGGGAGGGGCAGAGGGGGAGGGAGAGAGAGAATCTCAAGCAGACTCCTTGCTAAGGACGGAGCCCGACGCGTGGCTCAATCCCACGACCCTGCGATCATGACTGGAGCCGAAACCAAGAGTTGGCCACTCAACGGACTGCGCCACCCAGGCGGCCCCCACTTTAGCCATTCATAAGTGTACGGTTCAACAGCATCAAGTACATTCACACTGTGGTGCGCTCATCATCACCATCCATCTCCAGAATGTTTCATCTTCCCAAAGGGAAACTCTGTGCCCATTGAACAACTAATCCTCATTTCCTCCATCCCCTGGGAACTTCCATTTTCTGTCTTTATAAAGTTACCTATTCTGGGTACCACATGTAAGTGGAATCATTCAATATTTGTCCTTCTTGTTTCACTTAGAGTTTTTTCAGGGTTCATCCATGTTGTAAGCAGTGGGTGTCAGAATCTCATTCCCTTTACTGCTGAACAGTATCCATTGGGTGGCTCTATCACATTTTATCTATTCATCCGCTCGTGAACATGTGGACGTTTCCACCTTTTGGCTATTGTGAACAATGCTGCTATAATCATGAGTGTGCACCTATCTGTTCGAGTCCCTGCTTTCAATTCTTCTAACTACACCCTGACCAGTGGGCTTGCAGGATCACCCGGTAAGTCTCCGTTCAGGCGCCCTTTTTTGAGGAGCCTCTGCCATGCGGCTGCGCCTTCCTACATCCCCCAGTGAGGGATTTGCAATTTCCCTGAGCATATGGCATGTATTACTTTCATAACAAAATGTATTGAATTTTTTAAATCTCACTTTATCTTAATAAGAAAGTCTAATATTTTTCTCTCCTTAGAACGATTGCTAGATTACAAATTCCTGGAGGGCAGGGATGAATTTTTTTTAAAAGATTTTTATTTATTTATTTGAGAGAGAGAGAGAAACAGCATGAGAGGGGAGAGGGTCAGAGGGAGAAGCAGGCTCCCCGCCGAGCCGGGAGCCTGATGTGGGGCTCGATCCCAGGACCCTGGGATCCTGACCTGAGCCGAAAGCAGATGCTTAACCAGCTGAGCCACCCAGGCACCCCAGGGATCGATTTTTTTTTTTTTTTATGCATTAGCCACTTGTTAAAAAAACTGCTATCCGTGGGGGCCTTCCTGGGGAAGGAGGAGAGAAAGTCATGAAAGCCTGGGAAGCACGAACTCCTCCTGACCAGACAGCTGGGCAGCCGCTGCCCCCAACCCAGTCAACACCCCAGGCACTCCTCAGGCCCTGCGGCCATTCCAGAGCCCGAGACACTACCTGGCTGGCGGGTGGGGGGGGGTGCCCCGAGACCCAGCTGGCTGCCGGCCCGGCATTGGGACCTGCCGCAGCA